TTATCTTCTACAGATACTTTCTTTCTGAACACTTTCAGAAATGGAGAGGACAAAAACATCTTAAAGTTATAACAATAACATAAGTAAGAAGGTTCTCTAGTATCATTTCAATGCATAATCCTTAACATTTACTTATCAAAGATTTTTATGTATGATTATAATGGGTTTTATGAAATATTATTGCCCTATCTGTATGCTAATGTTTCAAAATCTGTGCTCTTCATGGATGTCCAATCATCTTTGAAAATTACAGTTATCTAGAATTCTTGTTCAGTCATATACTATGTTTATTCAGAATTTTATAGATTAATTTTTAAATTTTAATTTATTTTATAGTTCCTTCAATTTTTTTCTATATCATTTTTTAACATAACCCACTTCACATCAGACAATTGTGTTTTCAGTTTTTGTCTGTATATTACTTTTTTGCATGATAATATTCTACTCTGTATACTTTTTAAACATTGTGGAGCAAAAGTAAAACATCAATCAGCCATATGTCTTTTGTGAATATAATTTTGTTTGTGTTTCTTTGCTTATATAAATATTCCTCCTATTTTCTTTATAAGTAGTACATTTTTTTTTTTTTTGAATTTCAAAAATAGCATTGGTTTATTATTATATATTTTTTAGTTTTTTATTATCAGCATATTATGGGAGTACAGATTTAAGTTTTCAATAAATGCCCATTTTCCCCCTTCCCCGACAAGTTGAGTCTCCAGGCTGACCCATCCCCGCAGATGGTGCACATCTCACTTCATTATGATATGTATATACCTCCCCCTCCCCCTCCCACAATACCCTCATTTACTTGCAGTACCTATGTGACACTTTAGGGTGCTGTTCAGTTAATACCATATTTGCTGCGTGATATATGTGGGTGCTTGTTTTTCCCATTCTGGGAACTTCACTTAATAGTACGGTTTCCAGCCCTTAACCAGGAAATATAGAATGTGCTATATCACCATTGATTCTTTAGAGTGAATAAGTACTTCCATGGTATACATATACCACATTTTATTATCCATCTTGGATGGGATGGCTCACGGTGTCTGTTTCCACAGCCTTGCACCCGAATTACTGAATTGTGCTGCCTATTAACATTCGAGTGCAGGTGCTTTTTTTGTAGAGTGTCAATTGGAGTCTTTTTTGGGTAGATGCCCCAAGCAATGGGAATTGCTGGATCAAATGGTAAGATTCACTTGTATCCGCTTTGAAGGTATCTCCAAATTGCTTTCACAGAGGTTGAACTAATTTGCAGTCCCAGCAAGCAGTGTAGGAGTATAGAATTTTTTTATTTCCAATCTTTTATTTCTTCATTTATGAAGTAATCCATTTAGTAGGTGGTTTGGTTTAATTTCCAGTTTTTTGTGTAGAATATGTGTGTTTCTGTTAGGGTTGATTTCTACTTTTATTCCCTGTTATCTGAGAAGGTACATGGTATGATTTCTATTTTTTTAAAATTTGCTTGAGATTTACTTTGTGTCCCTAGATAACGTGGTCAATCTTAGAGAATGTCCGCGTGAGCTAATGAGAAAAACGTATATTCGAGTGGAATTTTTTTTTTGGTGAGCTAGAATGTCCTGTTAGATGTCAGTGCCAGACTCAGTTGTTCGCAAGGTTTTGTTTAAGTCATATTCTTTATTAATTTTGCTGTTTGGAGGATCTGTCTTGTTGCCCATCCAGGTGGGGTGTTGAAATCTCCCGGTGATTATGGAGTTGCTATTAATCCATTTGCTTAACTCCGGTAAGGTTTTTGCTTTTTGAAACTGGGTGCACCTAAAGTTGGGTGCATATATATTCCTAACAATTGTTATCTCTTCTTGTTGAACTGTGCCCTTCACCATTATATAATGACCCCTCTTTGTCTTTCACTAATTTTCTTGGTTTAAAAACTAAATTTGTCCTGAGAAAAAACTTAGAACTGCCAACGCCAGGCCTTATTTGGCTTCCCCACTTGCCTGGATAATGGATCTCCCGCCCGTTTTTTTTTTTTTTTTTTTTTTTTTATTTTTTTTTTTTTTTTTTTTTTTTTTTTTTTTTTTTTTTTTTTTTTTTTTTTTTTTTTTTTTTTTTTTTTTTTTTTTTTTTTTTTTTTTTTTTTTTTTTTTTTTTTTTTTTTTTTTTTTTTTTTTTTTGTTTTTTTTTTTTTTTTTTTTTTTTTTTTTTTTTTTGTTTTTTTTTTTTTTTTTTTTTTTTTTTTTTTTTTTTTTTTTTTTTTTTTTTTTTTTTTTTTTTTTTTTTTTTTTTTTTTTTTTTTTTTTTTTTTTTTTTTTTTTTTTTTTTTTTTTTTTTTTTTTTTTTTTTTTTTTTTTTTTTTTTTTTTTTCTTTTTTGTTTAATAATTTTGATTTTTTTTTTTGCTAGTTTTGTCTTTGTCCTTCTGGTTGTCTGTTTTTTTTTTTTTACTTGTAAGTCTATATGCATCCTTGCAGTTGATGTGTTTCCTGAAGACAGCATATACTTGGCCTGTATTTTTATTACCATTCAGCGCCGCCATTTCTCCTTTAGTGGAGGGTTTAGCCATTCTAATTTATTGAAAACTGATAGTAAGGTAATTACTGTTCATCTCTGTTGGGTTGGATGTTGTGTGCCTTGATTTCTCTCTTGAGCCATTTAATCTTTGGGTTTTGTTTGCTTTTATATTCGTGGGTTATTTTATGATGTTCTGTGCGTAACGCTGTTTGAGTACTTCTTTAGGCTGGTATTGTCTTGGTGAATTCTCTGAAGACTTTTGCATGTCTGAGAATGTCTTTTATTTCTCCCTTCATTATGACTTGTTTTGCAGGGAAATAAGATTCTAGACTGGCCATTGTTTTTGGTTCAGAAGAGTGAGAATTGGGGCCCCCAGTCTCCTCCTGCTTGTAAAGTCTCATTAGATAAGTCGTGTTATCTCGAATTGGCTTTCCCTTGTATGTTTACTTGTTCCTTTTGTCTTACAGGCTCTTGAAGGGCCTGCTTTAGTTGATATTTTGGTCCAGTCTTGATGACTGCATGTCGTGATGTCTTCCTGTTGCCTTGAATCTTTGCCAGGGGTCCTCTGAGCTTCTTGAACCTGTATATCGAGATTTTGAGCAAGGCCTGGGAAATTTTCCTCTATTATGTCTTCAAATAGCTGTCCATCCTTGGGTGTTGTCCTCTTCCCCTTCTGGTAAGCCTATGACCTCCACATTAGTTTCTTCACATAATCCCACAGCTCTTGTAGGCTTTGGCTCTTTTCTCAGTTTCACTGCTCTATCTCTGTGATGGTTTTTATTTAGTTGGGGATGTTGTCTTCAATCTCTGAGATTCTTTCTTCTGTTTGAATCTACCCTGTTATTGAGGCTTTCCCTGTATTTTGTAGTCCTTGAATGATTCTTCATTTCAAGGAGTTCGGTTACCCTTTTCTTCATTGTGTCTATTTCTTTTTCCATATCCTGGAGGCTTTTTGTGGTTTCTTTATGTTGTTATTGAGTGTTTGTTTCAGCTCAGTGAGTGTTCTTATGATCCACCTACGAAATTCCTCTTCTGTCATATTGGTTGCCTGATTTTGGTTGGTGTCCATTTCTAGGGGGCTGGTGCTCCTCTTTGGGGGTGTGTTTTCCATTTGGTTCTTCATATTTCCTGAGTTCTTTTGCGGATTTCTTCCCATGTCGGTCAGTTGTTGTTTCTTTCCTTAAGTTATTGTTTGGGTATTCACACACCTTGTTTAATTTCTGAGGTGTTAGGTGGTGTCCGTGGGTGAAATTGGACCACTCCCTGTATATTGAGTCAGTGGGTGCTGTGGAAAGGCTGTGCAAGATGCCGTCCCTGTCAGTAGGTGGCGTTTGCTTGGAGCAACAGGGTATGCTGTTGATTTTGTGTCCTGTTATCAGCTCTTGTTCTGGGTGAGCTGGGTTGGGTAAGCCTGCCCTCAGGCCGTTAGCAGGGGTCAAAATTCTGTTCTCTGCTTCCAGGGAAAGCTGTCAGGGTGGGGCTGGAATGGTCCCGCTCAGCCAGAAAGTCTGTGTGGGGGGGTGGGGCTGTCTGAGACCCACAGTCTGGAGCGGGCCTGGCTTCTTTCCACCCTCCCCAACTCCGCAGCTACTCCTGGGCCTCTGCCAGCAGGCCATACCACAAGCCACCAGGCCTCCTGGGACTGTGATGTCGCCGGGGAGGTTCCCTGCACAGGAAAGCCACCTGGGTTGGGTGCAAGGCCTCCTCCTGGGAGGAGGGTTGCCTCCTAGGATGCCAATCCACCCCTGGAGGCACACACACCTCAGTAGGCTGTTCACGTATATCCCTTCTGTGCCCTGGGCAATGCTAGCCGTCGGTGCAGGGGATCTGGTCTGCAGGTCCGACCTCTGGGTCCCAGAGTTCAAACTGTATCCCCACCAGGGAGAGGATTTCCAGTCCCAATATACCCACAGGGAGCCCAAGCTGGGTCTATGTATCTCAGCCTCTGAGTCGGCACTGTTCTCCTGGGAACACCATGCCAGCAGCACCTGGGAGGGCGGGCAAGTAGGCAGCTCACTGTCTGAGTTCCCCTGAGTCAGGTGTAGGGTCCCAAACGGGAAGGTCCCGTTCCCTGGAGGTGCCTCCGGCTGGTGGCTGTATTGTCTCTCTGGGCAGCCGCGGGTAGGGTCGGCAGAGGGGAGGAGGAGGCAATATGGCACTTGCCGTGCGGCTCGGGTCTGTGCACACGGAGGTGCCCAGAGGAAGTTGGGAACCTGGTGCCACGTCTGCTACAGGCTCACCGTTGGCAGGCGGCGGCAGTCTCTGGGCTGGTGTCCGCAGGTCTCTCCACCCGCTGGGGAGCCCACCAGCAGTCCCAAATGCAGGGGAGGAGGAAAATCCCCCTACCCTTGCCGCTGGTCTCCGGGCTGCTCCGGTGGTCTCAGCCTCCAGTTCTCCTCCGCAGCCTCCTCCCGTGGAGTCTCCCGGGGTCTCAGGTACCCCTCCTTCCGGCCCTTGTCCGCTGTATGCTCATTTTCTTACTTCTTTCCTCTAATTTCTGCTAGAATCTGTCTTTTCTGCAGAGACACTCAGTCTGGCATTGTTATTCGTCTGCCATCTTGCTCCACCCCCTCAATTGTCTTTTAAAATATAAGTGTTAGTGAGACAGCATTCAAGATGGGCCCTACAAAAACATCACTCCTTCGCTCAATTGGGATGTGCCCCCCTGAGTAGGGGAGAAAGAGTTGAGGAAGAGGCAGCCTGGGAACTTGAGCAGTGCCCTGTGTGCTCCTGGGAGTGAGGAGTGTGTGTCTGACCTGCCAGTGGGGAAGGGACAGCCAAAATTTCAAAATTTAAATGACCTATGTAGTCACCAAGTGATTTAGAATATAACAGGGTTATTCTGTTCATATTATCACATTGGTGATATTGGCCAGAATGTTTTCTCAGCCATGAACCCCCATTTTTGTTTTCATTTTTGCTTTTTGTCGGATAGTCCTAGAGGTTTTTTATTCTATGTATGTACTTAAAAGTGGGAGAGGTTTTAGACCTCTTCAAAATCTTTTTTAGAAAATAGATATCCAAGCTGAGGTCCAATATTATGTCCATTACCTTGTGGGTTTGCCCTCCACAGCAAGCCCTTTCCTGGCAGTATCTATGGGCAGCTCTAGTAACAAGGCAGGTCCTCAGAAGCCAGGGTATGTGAGTGGAGCAAGAAGAGAGTGGAGCATGAAATAAGATCCTGAGAGGTGAGAACATGGTGGAATGGATGCAGACAGGAAAATGGGTTGCCTGAGTGAGATCTACCCCAGCAGGGGAGTAGCACAGGAATGCTTTTTTCTCAGGACAGCAGAAGAACCTGGACCAGGCCAACTGCCAGAGAGTACTGAGAGAGCCCTGGACTGGATCAAGCAGTTGCAAGGCCAACATGGCGTACCAGAAGGAGAAGGTGATCTAAGATGATATTCATCAGAACTATATTGATCGCATGTCGGGAGGATGAGAGGATGGAGGAGGGGATGGGTATATACACACCTAATGGTTGCAGTGCTCACTGTCTGGGGGATGGACACACTTGAAGCTCTGACTCATGTGGGGCAAAGGCCATATACATAACCTAAACATTTTTACACTTGTAATATGCTGAGAAAATATTAAAAGATAACTAAATCTTGTGGGACAAGTACCACAAGGAGTTACTTGTGGTTTCTAACCCAGAAAATCTATACTCAGCATTACAGAAATCACCTCCCAAAGTGAGAGATGTGGTGACTGGTACAGTGGGTAAGAGTGGGAGGGCACCCCAGGAAGGAGGCGTCTGGGGCTGAGGGATGGGGTTGCAGGTGCCAGTGAAAGAGAAGACACCTTTTTGCACACCCCAACCTCTTTCATAGACTTCAAAAATAATAAATTTGGAAGTGGCCTCATTCCACATTACATTACACATATTAGCATTATTAAAATTCATCCACAATGTGATTCAATAATATTGTTGTAGGAAAAAAACAGAATGGCTTTGATACTATTTCTTTGCAAATAATTATATTTTGAAAGGTTTTTATGTTTTTGTGTGTGTGTATTTTGGTTTCTTTTTAACAACCTAGAGGTTTTACATCAGGCTTCTGATATTGTTTTAGACCCTTGAAAGTTCACAGGTAGTAACTTTTTGAGGTGCATTGCTCCTCAGATTAAAAAAAAAAAAAACAACTTACCCTCCACTCTTCACTGTGCACACTCATTGGGCAATTTTATCTAGTCCTGTCACTTCAGCTCCCCCTAAATGCTACAAGTGCTAAAATGCAGCTTCAGGTCCACATGCTAAACTACCACCCAAAGGTGGTTGCCTTCCCTGGCAACCCATACTCACACTTAGCCAGGTGGAAAGACTAGGCTCACTCTGTTCCTTCTTTCACAACCCATGGTGGTACTTCAGAACACTTGTTTCAGAGAAGACACACAATTCAGTTCATCTTTGAATTTGTAGCCCAAGAGTCATCCTATGAAAGCATACTTCACATTGATATCTACCACTTTGGTACCTGTGCTTACTGCCCTAACCGCCTCTGCACAACACCTCCATACTCTGCTGATGTTTTGCGTCATTGATGACAAATCCGTTTTGCTCTCGTGGTGAAGAGGAAGCTTATAAAGCAACCTGAAAGCTTGCTTTAATCTTAACGCTTTAGGAAATAACTATAATAACTCATATAGACTTGTCAAGAGGTCACAGATTGTAGTAATTATTGCTGAACCCCAATCACACTGCACTGAAGCAGATAAGCTTAAGAGTAATACCTTTTGGCTGTCGCCCTAAAGTCTACCTCAAGCTGGCACCCTTCATATCATGGCTTTGGCTAAATCATACTCAGCTGTCCGTTCTTCATCCGTGGCTGTTGACTATAGTACATGCTCTGTAGAAGTGTAAGCTAGGCTTAAGTCTCATTGATTCTTCAAATTATTGCTCTTACCTGATCATATGTGCTCCTACCTCAGTAAAAAAACCATTGTGCACTTATCTCACCTCTAATAGTACCTGAACGTATCTCTTCCTTCATATCATGCCAAAGCCTCAGCAGGAGCCCTAGTCACTGCCACCTTGATTGGTCTGATGGGTTTCCCCAACTATGCTTTCCCCCTGAAAGTTGGCCCTGCAATCCCACCTACACCCTTCTACTAGCTAGAGGGTATAAGAAGGGCATGTTTTATCACATCAATCCCTCTACAAAATTCTTCAGACCCCCACAGGTTTCTTGAGCTTCAGAACTTCCAGGTATTATAAAGCCTTTGTAGTTGAACTCTCCTATCCGATAGTTTCCTTCCATGCTCTCCTTTATCATTCCACCTGTGTTATTTTCTTAAATGTTTAAGTGTCTACTATGCACCAGCCACTGCTGAAGCATCCTACATATGTCCCATGCTCTCTCACCATTTACAAATAAATTGAATTTCTAATTACACCATGCCATTTTCTACCACTTTACCTATGCAAACATTGTTTTTTCTCTTCCTGAACTCCTTCTGCAACTCCTCCTGTGCCTAATTAATTATAGTTCATACATGCCTGAATACAGAGATAAAATGTAGTGTGTTTTCTTTACTTATAACATACCTGGTTTTCTCTAGGAGCCTCCAGTCACAAATTTCAGGAAAAAAATTAAGTCCAATTCCCATTTTACAAATGAGAAAACGGAGAGTCAGTAAGCATAAATAAATTGCTCAAAGTTATACAGCAAGTAGAGGAGCTTGATTTGCCCAAAAGTGGTACTTATAAGTATGCTATACAGTTTCTTGAAAAATGGCTTGTTTATGGAAATTTTTGCACTACTCACCTGAGCTTTCGTCTGTGAAGCTTTGCTACATGGGACAAAAATTTGGCCCATTCAACCAATTTAATTAATCCCTTCTGGAAACTAAGACTTTATAAGGAATCACAATTGCTCACTTAATGTCCCTTAGGCAAATGATACATTGGGGTAAAATGACAGAATACTTAAACTTGTATTGATGTTACTTTTATCCTTAAAAGTAGTGATGATGCTTTGCTAATATACTGATAATAGTAAATAAAGACTCTCTATATGCATGAATTAGGTGTGCATGCCCCAAAAGCGTTTATTGGTAGGAGTTTGAGATAAACAGTATAGGGACTGTTTATCTCAAACTCCTACCTGTTCTCTACTGACCTCTGCTCATTTCCTTCTACTCTCCACCCAGCTCACACCACTTGAGCCAAAACTCACCAAGCTCACACTCAGATTCTTCCCACATATCCTCACACAGTGACCTCACTACCTTCATCCAGACCGCTGCTCAAATGGATATCCCTATGGGGATATCACCCACACCCCACCCCACCATCAACTCTCCCTCCACCTATCCTGTTTTACTGCTGTCTATCAAAGTTACATTTACCTGACATTATAGATTTGTGTCAATTACCACACAGAGAATGAAAGCTCAGGGAGCCTGGGAGCCTTCTCTGTTTTGTTTCCCGCATTCTCTCCTGTGCAGTAGGAATTATGACCTCAATGGATGAATGTAGATTTTGCTCTTCTGTACACACCTGAGTATAGATTATTCTTTGGCTAAACTGTTTGGCTGCCTTGTGGGTTTGTCTTAGTATTGGCCAGTACTGTCTCTCCCTGTGTCTGGTTTCTGCTAGGTATCTGAGAGAACATTGTGAATACGGAAAATTGTTGGTATCTCTGCTGTAGGATAAGCTGTAGCCTTTAACCATGTGTTGCTATTTAGCTCTTGAAAAGTGTCTAGTGTGACTAAAACAGTAAATTTTTATTGTATTTAGTACTTCAGAATGTTTACTGTAATTGTGAGAGGATTTCAATTTCTAGAACTTTAA